GAAGTCAATTCACGGCTTCGCAGCAATTAAAGAAAAGTGCACGGTGAATATTTTCAACACCAATAGTCCTTTTTTATCCTACCTTCACTCTCAACGTTTTACGGTATCATTGGCCTTAAATTTCGAGAGTAGGGAATTGAAAATTATAGCTGGCATCGAGAATATACTATTTTTAAAATGCGTAAATGTAAATTTTACGTGAGTGGAGGACATAAAGGTGCCCCCATCTATCGCAGGAAAATTTAGAGGAATGATAAGAAAAATTTTGGGCGTTTTTGCAAATCCCAAAGAATTACTCCCATACAATACGAATATTGCAGCTTGTATTCTCACCAATAGTAGTGTTCCCATCTACTCAAGACTATACCCATATCCAATGGGTGTAGCTGACTTCGTTAACAACGAAATTAAATATCTTCTGAAGAATGGCATAATACGGCCTTCTAGTTCACCCTATAAAAATCTCGTTTCGGTTGTTGATGCAGGGAAAAGATGAATACGGCAACACTAAAAAAACGATTAGTTATAGATTTCAGAAGATTAAACGGGGTCACTGTCGATGACAAATACCCATTATCTGAAATAACCGTTATTTTCTCAAATCTTGGTAAAGCTAGAAGCTTTCACCAAATAACACTAACCGAACAAGATCGGGAAAAAAACGTATTTTCCAAAGGGCCATTGATTATGTTCTGAGGGAGCAAATTGGGAAATCATGTTATGTTTATGTTGACGATGTCATCATTTTTTCTGAAACAGAGAAATATCACGTCAAACATATTGAATGGGTATTAGACAAATTATATGCTGCCAATATGAGAATTTCCAGAGAGAAATCACATTTTGTTCAAGAAAGCGTTGAATATTTTGGCTTTATAGTTTCTAGAAATGACATAAACATGAATCCAGAAATGGTAGAGGCCATCCTCAAGTATGAAAAATCTGCCACACTCTTTAATGTAAGGTCGTTTCTGGGATTGGCAAGCTACTACAGATGCTTTATTAAAGATTTTGCGTCTATTGCCAAGCCACTAAACAATATTCTAAAAGGCGGAAACGGCAAAATTAGTGCCTCCCAATCGAAAAGGATAAACATAAATCTTAATGAGAAGCAACTCCAGACATTCGAAAAACTTAAAAAAATACTTGCATCTGAAAATGTGATTTTACAACACCCATATTACAAAAACCATTTGATTTGACAACGGACGCCTCGTCTGCTGGTTTAGGTGCAGTCTTGTCTCAAGACGGAAAACCAATAGCCATGATTTCAAGAGCTTTAAAAGATCGAGAATTAAATATCGCCTCAAATGGAAAGGAACTACTGGGCCTTAAAGAAACTCAGGAACTATTTATACGGTCTGAAAAATTTGAATATTTTTTACGGACCACCAGCCTCTGACTTTTTCCGTTTCGGATCGCAATCCGAAAATTTAACGTCGGAAAGCGTTCATTGATGAGCACAATGCAAAAATCTTTTATTAACTATGTAGCTTATGCCCTGTCCCGACAACACATTCACGCCTTAGAAGAAGACGTACAGTCGGATATTGCAACAGTGCATAGTGAGTTGTCGCTCAGATACACAATCGAAAAGACAGAGAAACCAGTAAACTGCTTTCGGAATCAAATAATAATAGAAGAAAGCGGAAGTGATTCAGTAAGAACAACCATTATGTTTGTTAAGAAAACTCGATATTTCTTGTGTTTCTCAGATAGAGAAAGACTTTTTCAAAGAATGTGCGATGTAGTTAAAAGTGATGTGGTGAATGCAATCTCTTGTGATTTAAAAGTAATGGTATTCATTCAACACAGATTAGTGGAAACATTCCCGTCAACTACATTCCGTTACACTGATTGCAGGTGGTTTCAAACTGTAAAGTATGCCAAAAAGCGAAGTACGATCGACACCCCAAGAGGCAAATTCTTGGACCACCGCCCATTCCTTCATATATTGGGGAAATGTTGAATATCGATATTTTCTCGACTGACAAGAAATACCTTCTCACTTGCGTTGATAAATTCTCAAAATTCGCAATCGTCCAATTAATCGATTCCTGAATAATTATGACGTGAAATAGCACGATGTCTGAAGATCGAAAGAAACATTGAAGACACAGCCGAATTAATATATCAAGCAACTATAGAATACAATAGGACAATTCATTCAGTCACGGATAAATGACCCATTGACATAATTCATCCGCAGACTAGTGAACTTAACACAGAAATTAGGAAAAACATTTTAAATGCACAAAATATTCAGGTTAAACCAGACAAGGCAAAACAGACTTTTCAATGTAGGGGACATCTTCCTCGTAAAATCAAATAAACGATTAGGAAATAAATTACGCATTTGTATGCTGAAGAAACCGAAGAAGCAGACTTGGGGACCACAGTCTTAATAAAAGGGAGGGTGATCCATAAGGACAATTTGAGGTAATTAACATAAATTTTACTTTTGCTTTTCTTTTTCGTCAGACAATGGACAATGCTTCTTCTTACGGTGACAATATCTGCAAAAATGGCTGATTACACGAATTCGAATTACATACCAATTATGGATGGAAATGCCGCTATTTGAGAGGAAGTCGGATATCTAAAACACTCAACAAATTTAACCATGTACTCAGTGATTGTAAAAGAGACTGAGAAAATGAGAATACATTTTCCCAGGTCACACATCAGACAGCTATTGGACTCGGATATACATATGAAGACGCTTATAGAAACACTAAACATTCATCATAGGCCTGCTTGAAGTCTACATTTTCCGGGTACCGCGTTAAAAGTTGTAGCAGGCACTCCAGATTTTGACGACTTCGAAAAAATTAAATTTGCACAGAAAGTGCTCATTGAATCAGAACATAAGCAGATAAGCATTAACACTAAAACCCAAGAAAAAATAAACGAATTATCAGAAACAATAACTAGTTTGATAACTTGCAACCTTCTGTAGAGAACAACACAATACAACTTGTGCACAACAACTTCAATCTGGAGAGATCGCACAGTACACCACTCGTCAAGCCACCTCGTACCGTTAACAGTTATTGATGATGGCGTTATCATAATTAATAATAAAATGGTTACCATAAATGGCTAACCAGTGAACGGCACAACTCTCATTACGTTCGATGAAGAAGTAACGATTAATAACTCCATATACCGGAATTTTAAAAACTATGTTAAAAAATCTCCAGTACCAGCCGTGTCAACGCTCCTCAACATAACGGGAGATCAAGAAATTCCGAGTTTGCCATAATTACAAAAACTTAATATGAATACTTTACGGTGTGTTGGCGAAATGGAGATTGGTCTTTTGAATTCAATTATAATCAATTATATCTGGATTAACCACTGTAACCTTCTTGATCAGTTGCTATGCTCTATTCAAATATTACCAAAAACGTCAGAGTCTACAACGGGAGCTTCAAGTTGTTATTGACAGTTTCAAGAAGTCCGCGGACGTCCTTCATCTAAGCGAGGGAGGAGTTAACAAAGTCTCCCATGTTGGCTTGATGTTGATGCTATGCATCACTTATTGCAGACATCATACGATGAAATATTTGCAGCTCGATACTCCAACATGCGACTCCAGCAAGTAGCCTACAGCAAGCAGCCAACATACACAAAAGCGCACACTCAACAGTTTGGATATTTAGAATTAAGTGAAAATAACTGTTAAATTAAAATTCACTTAACTTCAATTCAACTTTTATTGCAAAAGGTGTAACGTCTTAAGACTTCCAACAGGCAATCATTTGAACTTGAAGCTAGGAGATATGTATGTGGTTATATATTAATCCTATAAAAATGGGATACAAATTATGTACCTAAGTGCTCTATCACAATTGAATTGACATACTTTTCGTTAATAACAATATTCAGAATGTCCCGTTCAGTAGTCACAAAAGGGAATACCTTTTTTCTTATATTCGGCAGTTGTTTTGCATTTTTTAATTTATTTACATTAATCTGGCTTTCACCTTTCTATAAATCAATTTAACAATGTGTTTATTATTGTTTAGATTTCGAATATAGCTCTGTCCGATTTTACTACAATGTTAATTACGAATACATTTGAAGGGGGTTTATGATTTGGTATGATTAGGGTAGTCATGTATATGTCCATGACCCTATGGGCTCGGTAACTGTGTTAATTGAATATAAATAACTAAAAAAGTATTAAAACTTTTTTTCATACATAGTCGTTAGTTTTATGTGTCCTATAACTTAAGAGTTTGCTGGTAAAATCAATTCTTCAAATTAAAATACTAAATCAAATCGTAGACCTCCTGACGCACGCGGTCTTTATACTTAAATTGCTAGAGCTTCTACAATATACAATTGTTGATTTGGTGCTGTGCGTTATGTTCATCATTTTTTCCGTCAGTACCACAACAGAATATTCTTTGAATATTGTTTTGGATTATCCTGTATTTCTTTGAGTCTTGTTTTATTTGCTGTTAATTCAATAGTATGTCCGTTTAATTTGTTTATTGCTATGTTGACAGCTAAAAGCTGGTGTGAGCATTTATCTCCGTCAAATAACAATAAAAATCTACGCATTTTGATTTGGAAAGGCTCTTAACGGGATTTCGTTTATTTTATATTTTGAAATTATATCAAGAAGTCTGTCTTTAGTGTCAAATGTAGATCACGATCATATATGTTATGTTCGTCTGTAGAGGTACTGTACGATTAAAATAATCGTATTCTTGAATTCTAAAGCTACCTAAAATTTGTTGTTTGATATATGCGCTTTTGTTAGTGAATTTTATTGATATCTCTTTTTCCGACTGATCTTCTTAAAATTTATAATTGTACTTTTTTGCCTTAACATTTTATTATTGAAGTCAAAAACTTTTATCGTGAAGTTAAAAATTAGAACTATAATCACTATTTTAAGTAAGTAAATGTCCCATTCAATGTACTTATGCTTCAATTATGAAGACGGCGTTTTGTCTTTGATTTTTAATGGGTACCCATACAAATATAAACATGTTACCTCAAAACAATGTTTTTTTTTTTTTGGAATGAGCCAAACATTATTATTTATTTTATATTATTTCGTTTATACTTAATGCAAAATTCAAGTTAATGCAGTTTAAGAACATAGACATGTATTTTTTAAATTAGATTTTATCCATGGTATAAATTTACTAACTCTTGTGTAAACACCTGGATACCCTTCTCTGCCACATCCCACACCCCATGATACAATACCCACTATGAAGTACTTTACTCCATTAGATAGAATAAGTGGGCCGCCGCTATCACCTTGGCAGGAATCCATATTAGTTCGTCCTGCACAAAGCATTGTAGATGTAATTCGAGTGCTTTTATATTTCTGATTTCTGCATTCCATTATTGACATTATCGGAACTTTCACTTGGTTAATAATTGCTGGCAAATCTCCTCCTTCTGAAGTCCTCCCCCAACCAACAACAGTTCCAATACGACCTAAAATAAGAAAGATTAGTTATAAAGATATCAATAAATTCAACCAATTAATGTTTTACTTAAATTTTTAAGTTTTATAAAAGTAAAGTGAATTTATGAGGACGCAAAGATATTCATTTATATGAGCTTAGAAATATGTATTCGTTTATTGTAACAATATATATAAGTGAATACTATGTAGTGTAATCGTTTGCTACCGACCTAGAGATCCCAATCTTCCTAATTTCCAAACAGCTGTTATCTTAGTTTTGCTTTGATGTCGTATGTTTTTGATATTATTTTTATTGTTTATTTTTAAGGATATTAGATTATAAAAATTAAAATTAAGGAATACCCTTATAATTACTTATAAGTCAACATAATTCTGAAATAAAGTCAATTAAGTTTTAACTGCCGAACTGTTGGCACAAAATTAAAACGTTTTTTTTTCCTTTCAGTACTTAGTAAAGTACTTTATAAATATTTTGCCCCTGGCACTGTTGTGCCGGCAAAAATACAAAAAAAAAAAACAATTATAGCAGCCAATGGCGTTTTTAAGCGCCGGCTAAAATATTAGGCAGGCCTAAAAATAACTTCCCAGAGTTGTGGCGATCCTGCCAGACTTGGAAAGATTACCAGTGGAAGCCGAGATTCCAGCGACAACAACCCCTGGTCCATCCCGTCTGTCCATAGACAGTAAAGGAAGAAGGATGACATATTGACGCGGATTCCACCAACAGAGAAGCCAAAGCCGATTTGAAGACTGATATTTACGCTGATCCTCCACCACCGTGGCACATTGCATCCGAGCTATGGAGCACAAATGCAAAAAAGAAAAAATAAATTAAGTAAAAATAAACACAACAATGAACACGAAGTAGAAAATAAAAATTTCTTTTATTAAATAGACGTTTTTACACTATAAAAACTATTACTTATTGCACTTAAATATTAAAATCTTAAAATTATGGGAAATTAAGCTATAATTATTGCACTAAAATAATAAAAATTTAAGAATTACAAGAAATAGTGAAAAACCATAAGAAAAAGAAGAAGAATTATGAAGTAGAAACAAGTCGGGTATAATAATAATCAGAAAACACAGAGTTGATTCGCATGAGATAGACCACTCTTGGGTGATGGCAATGCTGTGATTTCGTAAGGGGGCTTCACACTAGTAAATATATTTGAAGAAATATTTTGTAATATATAATTTTGTAATAAATGAATATACTTTTAGTAATTATAATATATAGATGGCAAAAATTAATGAATTTATAAATTAATTAAATACATTGAAGGTGAATTTGAAGAAAAGTATAAAAAGGAGTTTTACAAAAAAATACGTGAATGATAAGTTAGATAAGCTAGATATACTGAAAACTGAATTTGTTAAATGTAAAACAGCTGAATCTACAGATACTAATGAATTAATAGTATTAGAAGCAAAATTTCGAGACCTTTGTGAAGAGGGTGAGGAAATTTTAAATAAACTAACGATAAAAGAAGAATTACTGGAAGAAGTGAGTTTAACAACAATTTTGGTTGTGGGCAAGAATCTCCAGATTTTTAAAGGGACATTCAGGTACTTAGAAGAGTTTATAGCGCAGGTTGAATTGCTGAGGAGATGAGGATCAAGAAATTTTTATAAAATATCTTTTTAATTTTAAGCTATCGAGTGAGGTATGGTGTACTTTAGGTAGGCTAAATAACCCAACTACATTTGAAGGTTTAAAGAAGTTGTTAATTGATGCATATCCAAACCCCAAAACGATACAACAAGTTCTATCAGAACTGGGGTCAGAGGTCCAAGGGAATCCTTCGGTCAATCTGTTTAGGGAAAAGGTAGCTGATTTAGCGGATCAGTTGAGTACATTCCAAATAAATAGTTTGCCAAAGCCACCTCACACTTTGAATGAAGCAGCCCAAAGATGATCTGCAACACAGAGGACGTTAGATCTTCAAAACAGAATCGTTTTTGCTTTTAATGAGAGAGGTCGCAATCAGAAAAAGAATAAATACTCAAGTAATGGTAAAAGGTACAATTACAGACCCGGCTACAATAACAACAGTAATTACGATAACGATGGTAGAGGTGGTCGTAATTCCAATGGATATAATAGGAGATACAACAAGTACGAAAGGCGATGGGGAGATAATGGTAGAGGTCATTACAATAATAACGCCAACTTTAGAGATGGCCAGTTTGAGAATAATGCAGGGAATACACACAAACGGAACACGAGATTCAACAATAATAATAGTAACAATTTCAGAACACTTCCTGTCGAAGAGCATGAAAACTAAGAGGGCCGGATGACGGAAGAAGTTTTCCACGAAGGCCAAATATAAAGATTTACAATATTTCACTGAAATCAATGGTGCACAACCTTAGGCAAGAATTTTACATTTCTGATAGACACTGAGGTGGACGTCTCAATCTACAAAGACTTCGCTTTCAGTAATGTGAATTCAAACGAAACAGCGAGATTAACAGGTATCACAGAGGCAGCGGTATAGTGCTTGGGTGAATCAGTGTTAAACTTGTCAATTACACAGAACATATTAGTCACAATTTCCTTGTTGTCAAGAAAGATTTCCCGATCCCCGGAGATGGAACAATAGGGAGAGACATTCTGTCAAAATTCATGTGTAAGATTGATTTTGAGACTTTCACTGTGACTTTTTCGATAAATTTAAACGATTTAATATTAACATTACATTCGAAACAAAAAATAAATAACATTGTTCTGCCCAAGATAAAAGAGGATAGCGTGATACTGAATAAGGAAGTGGCGGATGGAGTTTTCATAGCTGGTTGTTTAATACCACAGAATGGACACGTAAAATTTTTGAACACTAATAGTATATCTGTTGAATTACAAGGTCTAAATTTGGATATCAGGAATTTAAGAGAGTACGATGTGTATTACGCTAACAATAAATATGAGAGATATACCAAAGCACGAGCGAATGCACTATTTGGATGCCTAGATATACGATCGGTTGACACATATGCCAGAGAGGCAGTTAAAACCGTTTGTGATGGCGGAAGTCGCAGGCTCGTTTCCGGTCACACAAACGTGTCTAGTTCCGGTAATTAGCGGAAATTATTTATATTTTATGAATCCTTTTTTAGTAAATATATGGCAATTCTGGATTAATTGGAAGAAAACTTATATTTCCCTTTATTTTCGATTGTTGCCACTGACCGCTTATCGGGGGAAAAACAAGTAGCAACAAAACGCACGTCGATCCTAACTTAAGAAAAACAAGTAGCAACAAAACGCACGTCGATCCTAACTTAAGAAAACAAGTAGCAACAAAGCGTACGTCGTTGCTAAATCGTAAACAAGTAGCAACAAAACGCACGTCGATGATAACTTGTAAACAAGTAGCAACAAAACGCACGTCGATCCTAACTTGTAAACAAGTAGCAACAAAACGCACGTCGATACTAACTTCAAAACAAGTAGCAACAAAACGTACGTCGTGGCTATATCGTAAACAAGTAGCAACAAAACGCACGTTACAGGGACTGCAATGCGCTGCTTGTTTGTAACAACTACCAACAAAACGAACGTCGATACTAACTTCAAAACAAGTAGCAACAAAACGTACGTCGTGGCTAAATCGTAAACAAGTAGCAACAAAACGCACGTTACAGGGACTGCAATGCGCTGCTTGTTTGTAACAACTACCAACAAAACGCACGTCGTTGGATCGGTAATGCGTTACTGGCTCGAAAACAACCAGCAACAATACGCAAGTCTCTGGAACTGTGATGCGTAAACATCTAGCAACAAAACGCACGTTGCAGGGACTGCAATGCGTTGCTAACATGTAAACCACTAGCAACAAAAAGGCACGTCGTAGGGACTGCATTGCGCGGCTAACTTGTAAACAACTAGCAACAATGCGCCTGCGTATGCAGTTAAAGGACTTCGGTAAGTTGTTGACACCGGATTATAAAAGGAAAGTAGAAAGTTGCAGGGGGGACAGTCGATTGAGAGTCACTAGGCAAACAGGAGTCTAGATCAACGAAGCAGCCTATTTTTGCAACTTCAGGTGAGTAAAGTGAAACCAAAGATCTTGGAAACGCGACCGCCGAAGCGAAAGAAGCCCAGGACAACGATATACCTGAGTGAGTTAGTAAAGCCACCAGCAAGGGGAAGAGCGAGTTGTCAAAGCCGCTCAAGAACACCTGGGTCAAGTCCAGTGAGTTGCCGAAGCCACTGGGATAAGAAACCGGGGAAGCTGCTAGGAGTCCACTTATCTCGGAGCCGGACGAATATTCGAGATCACTCCAAGGACTCTGTGTAATATCCCGGTTGTAAATACATTTAACCGAAGAATAATAAACCGGGGGTGATCCCATATTAATAAAGAGTCGTATTTTCCTTACTCCCGTCGCTGACAGAAATAAATTTCTGTGACGAACTCTGGCCACCGTGAGCTAACCTCAGCAAACGGAGGAATCTGAGTCGTTACAGTGGCGCCCGAGCAGGGACCTGAGTAAGGGAAAAAAATCAGTACCAACAAGAAAGGGGGTCACCATCGGCATACAGGTATGACAACAACGCTGCGGACCACCTGGGCTTACAGCCTACGTAAAGAAGAGCTGGGGAACTACCTCACCGAATTTGGCCTCGACGTAAATGGAACGGTAGACGAGCTTCGAAGGAGATTCGGCAAATTTTTGGGGGAGGAACATGAACCAGAGGAGTTGGAAAAGTTACTTCGGTACCAGGACTACCATGATCAACATACGTCCAGTAAAGACAGCAAGGCCAGCCTTTCCCCGAAAAGAACTCCAAGCTTGGCTATTACGAGCCCCAGTGGAGTTACAGTTCCGGTTCCGGGTAACAGCCCAACACGACCAACGTCCCCGATTGGCCGAATCAGAGCTCCTACCAACATCGATTTCCGGGCGGTGGCGGATCAAGTGCGAAAGTGGAACTTGGGATTTGATGGTGAGCAGGACCCATTAGAATTTCTCGAAAGAGCTGAGGAGTTAGCTG